ATGATGTCCTTATCAGCATCTCTTGATTGGTCCTATAGCCATTGTTAAGACAAGGGGAGAATTTGGCAGGGTCTGTAAAACGGGAATGAGCACGACTCTGGGAGTTTACATATCTAGCTACCTTGTGTTTCCATAATCTCTACTGTGCAGTAGACTATCAAGAATGGAAGTAATGTAAAAGGCAAATTGCTGCTTTCCTAATATCTCTTCTAATAAAGACCAAGCTAGTTCTGAGATGGCCCAAGGGGTTGGCTTGTTTCAGAAGTCTACTGTGGCCCTAAGAGAGGTCTGATCCAACCTAAATAGAACTGACACTCACTCATAATGACAGTCTAGAAGGGGGGTTTATTTTAACCTTTTAAACCAGAGGTAGAACTAGACCCTAGAGCCCTATCAGCCCAGTTCTGCTTTTTAGCCTTGGGCTGTGAAAGGTGAGAAGTAACATAAGCACACTGGGTCAAAGTTTCCTCCTCTGTAAATGAGGGGACTGAACTGAATAAGCCCCAAGTGGCCTTGCACAATTCTCCCACAGGATTCCTCTACTATGACAGAGCACCCCTCTCACCTGTAGTAGAAATGCACCGGGCTGAGGTGGCTGACTGTCGGCATGTAGGAATAGTAGAAGGAGCCATAGAGGAAGATAGACACCCAGAGCAGGAGGAGGATGGTACAGAAGAGCACCCCAAACTGCAACAGCAGCTTGCGGGCTCGGCCTGCCAAGACATGGCCCACCTCCTGGGCCCACAGCAGGGCAGGTACTGGTGGGTCATTGACCATGGCAGTGGGTGCAGCGGGTCTGGCCCCAGGTTCAGGCTTTGTGTTCCTAGCTGTTCTGCCACCTGGACGCCACCCATGGCTACGGGATGAAGCAGCTGGTGATTCCTGGAAAAAGACAGAGAGGGGAAAAGAATGGCTTCTTTCCTGGGGTGGGGGGAGGTGGTGACAAAAGGGACAAGGTTACTGGGCTGGCTTTGAAGAACGAGAGATAGCAGGACATAGCAAGTCTTTGTTTCATGTGGCCTTTCTCCAAATAACTGTTTCTCAGCCAATTATCCTTTCCCTTTCCTCCACCGAGCTCTGTTCATCCCCAATGCCAGAGCTCCTCCGACCACCTGATTCTGGGACAGGCACCTTGATACTCATTTACAGCAATACATAACAGACAGAGGACGAGCGCCTTAAAATCAGGGCGCTTTTACACACACGGTGACACTGAACCCACGCTGCGAGCTGGTTAAACGCAGAGAATGCGCGACGTGCCTGAAGCGGCAGAGCCGGGCTCAAAGCACGCCGCGGAAGCGTCACCACCGCCTCCCGTTTCTCCTCTCCCGGAGCTGCGCTCGCTCCCTGACGGGCCCGCGCCCCACGCCGGGCAGGGCGCCCCGCACACTCTGGCCACTCCCCGCATGCCCCCTCCCGCTCGCCGGTGGGCGCGGCGCCCGGAGCCCGCACTCAGCGACGCCACGGTTGGGAAAACAACTCGCCCGACGCCGGGGCAGCGCAGACTCACCCGCATCGCGCGCTGCCTGGGCAACGCCGAGAGGGACTTCCGCCTCCCCAGC